TTGTGTGTAAATTACTTATTCGCTTTCAGCCGTGATATTACCAGAGTACTATTATGTGAACAATGTGGATGTTTGCGAAGTATTTAGATATTAGGGATAACGTTGTGAGGTGAATACTACTGTACCGGGAGTACTATGATTTAAAGTGTATGATACAGCATGCCCTATCGTTATCTTTATCCGTCATCCATGCCTACGATGATATTGTATGAATAAAACCATTAAATGAAATAAACAAATATACCTGGTGTACTATTATATGAAAGGTAGGATGATATAAAAAGTACACATGTGTCTAAAGTGTCAATGATGATAGAATGTAAAGCTATTTGAACGATAATATTGCATGGGTCTACGGGTTATGTTGTTATTGTAAGGAAGGGAGAATATTTTATAACTAACACAAAGGTTGTAGCACATTCATTTGGAAGAGATTATTGTCCCTGCACTCATGTGATATGTAGAGAGAAGGGAAAATGAGAAGTGGAATTCTGTGGAGTGCAATGATATTCAAAATACAGTACTTTATGAGGGAGACAGATATTCTCAAACACTGTCCTTTGAAAGATAAGGATTTTCCTACAATTTGGCCATCGAAAACGCAAAAGTGTGTGAATTGCGGGCTATGTGTTCCAACTTTCGGTTCCTATTCTTTGGGCAACACCAATCATCGCTGAGTATAGATCTGTATGAAATAGTATTATGTGAAGAATTGAGGGCTACTTTCTAAAGAAAAGAGCTATCCATTAATTACGCGCAGGTGCAGGCGCTATAGCTGTGTCGAATGTATTATTGCCGGAGTAATAAAATAGCGGCAGAAATACTTGCATATGGAAAATGCAGGGATTCTAGCGAAAATGTTGTTTGTAATGTACAGTGTCGCAGTGATGCTTTTATGTGAAGGCCTAATAACATAGCGTCTTAGATACGACTAATTGGAGAACGTGAATAATGGAAGAATAATGATTTATGTGTAGTATTATTTAAAGAATATCGCACCCCCCCAGCACTACGGGCCTGTGGAATGAATGCTTAGCATACAGCCCTATTATATGAACCATGCGTCTATACCTTCAGTATTATTTTGTGTACTGTATACATGTCTCCTGAATATTATTCTGCACCAAGCTCATATTTTACAGTTTTTTTATTTGGAAACTATTATTGGCTGAAGATAGCACATCTCGATGGGGAACCATGATATCAGGAACATAATCGTGGGGATTCTATGACTGGAATACGTTTATATGGGAAGGTTAAGACAACAGGTGCTATTATTTGAAGAATACAATGAGGCGGAGGATATACAGTTCCTTGGAAGACTAATGTATAAGGAGTACATTTTTCGCGACCATTATTAAGTATGTGAAAAGGAGACATTTCTCTAGGGTATCACTGCATAAACAGTAGGAGAATCCGGAGACTCCTTATTGTGGAGTCGTCAAGATTTAAAGCAGGAAGCACGATAATTTAAAAAGAGATATTTAGTAAGAGATAATAGAGTGGATGCAGCGGTATTCTTGGAGGGGTTCCAATTACTGAGCGTTACACATATATATAAAATACGACATGGCTCCAGTATATTTGTATTTACTGTAAGAATTAGCCTTACAACAACTGTTTAGAGGATAAGCTTCTGTCAAGGCTAAGATTCTATGTAGTAGAGTTCTTTATGAGGAGAGAAATTGTTTAAAATAGTACCAATGTTTAGAGGGTCGGATTCCTTGAGGACGAAGTTTTAAAAATGCTGCCAGATCACCAATACACTGTCTTCTAAAATAATTCCATTCCAGGAATACTCATATACCAATACTAAGGCTATTCATGCTGTATAAGAAATTGACGGATACTATCACTAAAAAGGGTTTCAACATGCCGAGGGCGCTTATATATAGGAAGCACTTCTTATAGGCAAAGTAACGCTGTAAGTACAGTAATACATCGTCAACTGTGATTATTCCTTCTCAATATTATTGTAATATAGATTCAATAATTATCCAGGTACTATTAAAAAAAAATGATTACGGAAGATTCGCACATCTGCCTTAATCTGTAATATTTTCCTCTTAACAAGACTCGAAATCGATGCGGTACTATTAAAATATAACAATTATGTAAAATAAAAGATTAAAATTCTTATACCCTAGGGAGGAATACGAAATTATAAAAAGAATAGTACTATATAGAACCGGCTGTTTCTCCTGGAGAGTTAGGAATAATAATAACATGAAAGGCGCGAAGGGGACAAAATGAGCATAAGAATAAGAATACACATAAGATATTAAAGAATCATTAATCTAAAAGGGGGGGGGGGGAGCAACCATATAGGAGCGGATGACTATAATAGAATGTATATACGAATACAACTGACCTCTTTGAGAAAATTATCTAGTTCAAAGAACGGAGAGAGATATTTATAAGACCATATAAATACACCACAAACCAGTGAGGATATCAACATAACGATCAAAGTGGAAATGCCTAAAAGGAAAGGTACATAATTAATACATACAGAAGAGACAACACGTGACAAGAGGATCCAGGGAAAGATGATCAGGGGACGAACATTAGACACTACACCCAAAGATTAGAACCCAGAAACACAGTAGGGGTGACACATAAGGAATAATGTGAGCAACAGATCTTTCCCTCTGACAAAATAGATATATGAAATAGAGGGTTTCATGTTTTCTAGCATATAAACAAAGGAATAAGGACAGATAATATCTTGAATCTGTGCTGAGTCCAGGAAGTATAATAAGACGTACAGTAACTTCATTTTTGTCCGTATCTAAAACTATAGAGGATGCTATAATGGGCGGCTCTTTATTCACAACAGAAGCATGTAGGATGTTAAGTGGTATTCATAACCCCTTTTATGCATAAGGGAGTATAAGCCTATACAATGCATACATTCCCCTATTGACATAAACACCTGTCCGCTAAAGAAGTCTTACACCACCATAGAGTTATGAGATTTTTCTGAAAGATGAGAAGAAGTCAATAAATACATGATCATTTTGGCAGTGATATGGTTTTTATATGAGTTTTAAGTGTAATGCTATATGGGCATATAAGCAGTAATAGAAAAATTCCCTCCCTTAATAATGAGTCCAGTAGTTTTATGAATCTATTGTGTGTTATTCCGCGTGATTAATTAACCCAAATCTTCGAACGAATTGGTGAGTTGTTGTGGGGATCATCTGAATAAACAGGCAACTCTTTATGTTTCGATACATTATCATAATGTAAATTTACCCAGCACCTGGCAAAGGAATAACTGTTTAAATAGCTGGATACGAAATGTTGTGGCTTATATGATATTTTCTTTGCTATATAGCATATCATGAGGGATGATATAGAAGGAGCTATCGTGACCTGCTAAGGAGTGAATAAGCAGAGGGATATAAAATAGCGGGGAAACATCATATAATGGTTAGGAATTTACTGATAGGACATAGTGTATATTATAAAAGGGACAAACACACAATAAGATCGAGAATCCTACCAAAGGGGATGATGAGAAAACAAATGTTCCCCCAACGAAGAAAAAATAAACACCTTGAAATAAAATTATCATCACCTCGAGGGAGGAATGTGTAGAGAAGTTCCTTCCCCCTGGTAGAATCGGAATATCGACTCCCAATCTTAATGTTTCCTAAAGTGGATATAATAATACTCCAGCAAATGGAATTATATGCAAGTGAAAGATTCCTCACGTATAGTCTATGGCGACATGATTTCGTTTATGTTTCCACCTAGTGCATTGGGCTAAATGAGGGGAGGGAAATTATTATCGATTGCAAGAGAACGTAGTGTGTCCCCTACTATGAGTCTGTCATTGTATAAATAAGAGCATATAGCCATTTAGAGTACAATTTTTTCTCTTTTCTGATTTTGACTCCTTTTCTAAGGACTTCTTCTACTTTGGTAAGGCTAAAGTATCTCTATTCATGTAACCTACGCGAAATTATTACGTTTGTTTTTTAAATTTGTCATAATTGAGATGGGAATTATCCAACTTATATATTAGGAAAAGTAAGGATTAATGTAATTATGTTCTGGTTCCATACTCACGAGAGGTTTACAATACGAATTGTGTTATTTCATTTGGATATCCTCCTTATCTTGATTGGGGAACAAGTGACTGCAATTATGTAGAGTCGTTTCACGTAGAAGAAATTTTTTATCTTTCTGTTTTCACTTTTTCTGTGATAATTTGAAGAAAGTAAGAAAATAGGAATGTCTTTGTAGAAGATAAATTCCCGCCTATTTTTATATATCTAATATTGATTTAACTGTAGGAAAAATAATTGAGCCTCAAACGGCTACCGTGACTTTAAAATTCGAACAGCTACAAATAATTACTAGGTGAATTATATAGGAAGTTCCACGAATCACGCATTAGGGATCGTGCAGAAGCAATTTTATTGAATAAAAGCGAACGAAACGAAAAAAGGAGAAAAGAGAGACCAAATTATATGTGATATTAAGAATGATGAAACAGCTTAGAAGGAGCCACAGCATATTCACACATATAGATATATACGAATGAATCATGACAGAAGCGGAAGAAAAATGTGTCAGAGTACCAAGGTCTAGCTAGTTTCAAAAATTCGCCAAGCGTCCGGGGGGGTTAGTACCTCTAGGACAAGCAAATATGGAAGGGTATTTGAAGTTTGGATTTTAATTGCTGTGTCTTAATATCTGGAGACATTTGGCCAAAGAAG